GAATTTGTCACTGGAACTCCACCTCATCCTTCCAAGTTTTGTCATTGGATCTTTTATCATGCAGATTAGTCAATTTACACTAGCATTACATATGAATATTTCTAATAACAATAACAGAAATAACCTAGCTAACATACCCTATCTCTTGTATGCTAGGCTCTATGCTAACTGCTTATATAGATTACTTAATTTTTTTATTTTTTACAAGACAGGGTCTCACTCTGCTGCCCAGGCTAGAGTACAATGGCGTGACCATAGCTCACCACAGCCTCGAACTCCTGGCATCAAGGGATCCACCTGCCTCAGTATCTGGAGTAGCTGGGACCACAGATGTGTGCCACACCTGGCTTATGGATTACTTAATTTAACCCCCACAACACCCTGTGGGATAGAAGGCTATCACTAACCCCACTTACAGAAGAGGAAAGGAAAACTCCAAGGGACGATGCAGCTTGCCCGGGTCACAAATAGGAAGTGGCAGAGCTGGAATCTGATTGAGCTCGAGCTGTCTGGCTCCTGCCCTCTTAAGCATGACATTTAGTCTTCAGTGCAACAGATACGAGCTGATCACCTACACAAAACAGACTGCGTTAAAAGCAGAGGAAAAAGAAATACATAGGCCCGGTGTGGTGGTTCACGCTTGTAATGCCAGCACTTTGGGAGGCTGAGGCAGGTGGATCACTTGAGGTCAGGAATTCAAGACCAGCCTCGCCAACATGGTGAAACTCCATCTCTACAAAGAATACAAAAATCAGCCAGGTGTGGTGGCAGACACCTGTAATCCCAGCTACTCAGGAGGCTGGGGCAGGAGAATCACTTGAACCCAGGAGGCAGAGGTTGCAGTGAGCCAAGATTGTGCCATTGCACTTCAGCCTGGACGACAGAATGAAACTGTTGTCTCAAAAAAAAAAAAAAAAAAGAGAGAGAGAGAGAGAGATGTAATAGAGATGTAATACGGCTAATTGCATCAGACTAAATAGCATTCCCCTCAAATTTCTTATCAATCCAGAACCTGTGATGTGACCTTATTTGGAAACAGAGTCTTTGCAGATGTCATCAATTTAAGATAAGGTCATACTGGAGCAGAGTGGGCCTTACATCGAATGACTGGTATTTTTATTGGAGGAGGGAAGTCTGGACACAGGCATGAAAGAACTCCATGTAACAACCAAGGCAGAAACAGGAGTCTACAAGCCCAGAAGGCCAAGGATTCCAGCAGGCACCAGAATCCAGGAGAGAGGCGAGGAACGGATGCTGTCAGAGCCTTCAACATAACCTTCATTTCTGTACTTCTGACTCTCTGAACCGTGAAACAACAAAGTAATGTTTTAAACTGCCCAGTTTGGAGTAATTTGTTCCAGCAGCCCTAGGAAATTCATGCATGGATAAAAAGAAGACAATAGAACCAGGGGTGGTGGCTTGAGCATGCAGTCCCAGCCAGTCACCCCAGACCTTGTTGGGCAGTAAGAGTTTGTGTTTGAAAGTTACAGTTCCCCGCTGGCCGTGACTAGGCAGTGGGAGAAACCAGCGATGAATCAGTTCATGGCCTCACAGGAAGCCCGGCTTTCCTGTCAACAAAGAAGAATGAAAAGCCGTCAACCTCGGGCCAGAGGGCCATCCACCTGGCCACTGTCACAAGGCTCAGATGGAGAGAACACTTTCACAAGGGGGCGGGAAAAAGGAGAGCCTGGCAAACCACATTTGGCATCTGACTCCCGAGTCACCCTTTCTGCTCAAGATGAGAGTGTGACAGTAGAGACAGAACATGATAAAACCAAAAAAAAATGGGTAGGCCTTGCACAACTCAGCTTAACTCACGGGATTTCCCCACTAACCCGCTAGACACTGAAACAGAAGTTCCTAAGCATTTGGCAAGCCAGGTCCTTTTGAGAATCTGGCAAATGCTAATGGATGGATGAATTCTTTCCCCAGAAAAATATTCCTACATGCAAAATTTGGGGTGAGACTCCAGGGCATCTTGAGCTATTAGAGCCCATTTATTGATGAACAAATATTTATTAATTGTCCACTACGTACTAGGCACTGTGCTACATGCTAGGACTATAAACAGAAATAATAGACGAGGCATTTTTCTTCCTGAAGTCAAGAGCTGGGAGGGAGGTGTGTAAGTTTTCTGTGGCTGCCATAACAAATTACCACAAGCTGGGTGGCTTGAAGCAATAGGCCAGGCTGGGCGCAGTGGCTCACGCCTGCAATCCCAGCACTTTGGGAGGCCAAGTCGGGATCACTTGAGGTCAGGAGTTCGAGACCAGCCTGACCAACATGGTGAAACCCCATCTCTCCAAATATTAGCCAGGCATGGTGGCAGATGTCTGTAATCACAGCTACTCGGGAGGCTAAGGCTGGAGAATCACTTGAACCCGAGAGATAGAGGTTGCAGTGAGCCAAGATTGCACCACTGCACTCCAACTTGGGTGATGGACCAAGACTCTGACTAAAAAACACATAAATACAGGACAGAAGGCTAAAAGTCTGAAATCAAGATGTCAGCCCAGCTGGCTCCTCATGGAGGCTCTGAGGGAGAATCTGTTCCATGCCTCTCTCCTGGTTCTGGTGGTTGCCCGCAGTCCTTGGTATTCTTGGCTTGTAGAGGCATGATTTGAATCTCCTCTGCCAACATCTTCACCTCACCATCTCTCTGTGTCTTCTCCTCTCCTTATAAGAAAATGTCACTGGATTTAGTACCCACTCTAAGTCGATTCTGAGATCATCGAGATCCTTAACTAGTAACATTTGCAAAGACCCTAATTTCAGATAAGGTCACGTTCTGAGGTTCTGGATGGACACGAATTTTAGGAGGATGCTGTTCAACCCAACGTAGTGGTCAGATGATTGAACAGCCACCACAGAAAGCAGCAAGGACCATGACAGAACTCCCGAGGCACCCATGAAAGCTTTCCTGAGGCCCTCACGTGCAACTGAGACCTAAGTAGTAAGTAGAAACTAATTAAACAGAGGAAGTAGAGAGTGCACCAGGATGAACCCATCACACAGATGAGGCCCACACAGGGGAGAGCTCACCTGAAGACCACTGCAAGAGAGAAGAGGCGGTGCAGAAACCAGTCGAGCGGGGCGGGGGGGGGGGGGGGGGTGTTCTGGTTTTGTTTGTTTGTTTGTTTTGAGAAAGAGTCTCACTCTGTTGCCTAGGCTTGAGTGCAGTGGTGCAATCTCAGCTCACTGCAACCTCTGCCTCCTAGGTTCAAGCAATTCTCCCATGCGCCATGTCTGGCTAATTTTTCTATTTTCAGTAGAGATGGGGTTTCGCCATGTTGGCCAGACTGGTCTCGAACTCCTGTCCTTGGCATCACTTGAGTGATGACTCATTCACTTGAGTCATGCACCCACCTTGGCCTCCCAAAGTGCTGGGATTACAGGTGTGAGCCACCCCACCCAGCCAAATACAAGTTTGGGGTTTGGGTTTTATCCTTAGGGCTGAAAAATGTCTTTGAGGTAGTGGAAACAGAAGAGTACTTCTACAAAGTTCGCCGTGATGGAGGTGAGGAAGAACTGAGTGAGTGAGACCAGACATAGAAACCACCGGCCCTCAAGGGCGCGTATCTCAGGATGCAAGTGACCAGAACTCTGTGGAGATGCCCCACGCATCACCCTGAGCAGTGAGCTGGAACGATGCCCCCCAAACCACATGAAGGAGTTTAGCCCAGTGCAGACAGGATCCGAGCTGGACAATCAGACCAATGTTAGCCCAAGAAGAAAACCCTGAAGTCTGAAAGCTCTCATGCTTGTTCTCCATCTAAGTGGGGAAAGGAGCTGGGCGTTTTCACAGAAATCTGCATAGCTGTCTTCTAAACACTTCGACTCATCAGATGCATAGGTGCTCCTCTTCTGTGGTCCCTTAGAGTTCAGTGTACCTTAAACTTAAGCCACGCCTCTCAGAAATAAGTGAGTCATGTCTCCCAGGCCTCACAGACTCCACGTTGCTCTCTAAAGGCCATCTCCTCCCTTGAAACCCCCGGTTGGATTCTACACCCTTGCCTCTGTTCTCCAAAAACTCTGAATGTGGGTTCAGAAGCTACTTACTTATAATTCTTATTTATCTTTCTTTGTTTACTTATTTACTTATATATTTACCTTTTTTCCTTTTATTTATTTTTTTTGAGATGGAGTCTTGCTATTGTCACCCAGCCTGGAGTGCAGTGGCATAATCTTGGCTCACTGCAACCTCTGACTTCCAGTTCAAGCGATTCCCCTGCCCCAGCCTCCTGAGTAGCTGGGGATTACAGGTGCCCGCCACCACACCTGGCTAATTTTTGTACTCTTTGTAGAGATGGGGTATCACCATCTGGTCTCGAACTCTTGACCTCAGGTGATCTGCCCGCCATGACCTCCCAAAGTGCTGAGATTACAGGTGTGAGCCACTGCACCCAGCCTATTTATTTATTTTTTAAGAGACAGAGTCTCTCTCTGTCACCCAAACTGGAGTGCAGTGGCATGATCATAGCTCACTGCAGACTTAACTCCTGGGCTCCAATGATCCTCCCACCTCAGCCTCCCAAGTAGCTGGGACCATAGGAGTGTGCCACCACTGCTGGCTAATTTGCTTTTAGTTTTTGTAGAAGTTTGTCCCAAAATCACGGGCTCAGGCGAACCTCCTGTCTGAGCCTCCCAAAGCACTGGGATTACAGGCATGGGCCACTACACCCAGCCCCTTACTTTCCTCTTAACCTGTCTCCTCCACCAGACAATGAATAACTTGAAGGCAAAAATGTTTTATCTTATTCACCTCTGAATTCCTAGCTTCTAACACATAATACATGTTATCAGACAGATGGATGGGTGCTAGATGGCTGGATTTCTTCAGGATGCTATGCTGGCTTCAAACCAAATCAATTAATAAATTAATTAAATCAGCACAGGTCCAACAATGGCTCTTCAAGTGCTTTGCACGGCCCCTTCCCCTCTCAAGAACAGGAGTAAGATGTCCAAAGACAGACATGCTGCCCTGGCATCTCAAGACTCACCTCATGCCCTCCGAAGCCATCTTATCAAGATTGGTAGTGTCCTTTGTTTCGGCCCAGTTTGCTCCCAGGTCACCCCACCCAATGTCATCGGCCAGAATAATCACAAAGTTCGGCTTCTGGTCTCTTGTTTTCCCACTGAAGCAAAAATCCACAAGAGGATAAAGAAATCCTGAGAAACTCACTCCCGCCAACAATACCTTTAGAAAAAGCCAGCCCATGGTGGTTAAGGCAGGATTCTGATTGTCTGGAGCGATGGCAGGCACCACTAGAGACGTTTCTGAGAGCTTCCTTTCTGCTCACTTCCAATGCAGGAAGTCTCTGGGGAGCAAGGGTGAAGTCTGCAAGAAGATGCTGGTGGCAGGAGGTGATGGCAGTGATAACAGCTACAGGGATGTGGGGGGCTATAGAAACGTGGCCTTCATCGGGAATCCTGATTCAAGAGAATCAGGAAATGTGCAATCCCTAATTTGGCTTGATCTTCTATGGTCAGTTAAATGACTGATTGTGTTCAGTAGTTAGACATCCATGTCAGCAACTGCTCTTCAGCCACTAAGAAAGTGACTCTTCTGTGGCCTTAAAGCCACAGCACAGGCCTTACAGCTGTTTGGGACTCCATCTGGTGACTACAGGATGAGTTCTCACATCTGCAGAACACCTGGATGCTCTAGAAGCCGCAGCCAGCCCCGAATAAGTTTCTCAGTTCCAGATGGTTGAGGGCTTCATGTTTCTGTAAGGTTTCCTGAAAGAACAAAAATTGACAAGAAAACAGAGTTAAGACTGCCAGTGCAGCTGTGTTTTACTCAGTAGCTTAGGAAATAATCACTTTTCCATGCCAACAGATGTTTTCCTTTTTATTCAAATATTTAACTGGTTCATCAGTTTCTCCACCTGAAAAATAGTGATGATAATAATATTCGCAATGGACCTATAGTTACAGGGTTGGAGGTAACATTAGAGACAATCTCTGCCAACCCACTCACCATATAGATGAGGATATTGAGGCCCAGTGTTCTGGTTGTGACCAGGACCAGCCCCCCAGCACTGCTAACTCCCAGTGTGCCATTGAGAATTCTAGAAGAAGAGGTGAGACCCTTATTACCAAGACATGATTATTTGTAACAGTCATGCTATAACCTAATGATTCTACATTACAAAAATATTTTTCGTCTTGCTACGTTGCCTAGGCTAGTCTTGAACTCCTGGCTCAAGTGATCCTCTTGCCTCAACCTCCCACATAGCTAGAAGAGCTAGAATTACAAGCATGTGCCACCATAGCCAGCTAACATTCTTTTTTCTTTCTTTCTTTTTTTTTTTTTTTTTTTGAGACTGAGTCTCACTCTGTCACCCAGGCTGGAGTGCAGTGGCATAATCTTGGCTCACTGAAACCTCTGCCTCCCAGGTTCAAGCAATTCTCATGCCTCAGCCTCCCTGTAGCTGAGATTACAGGTGCCCGTAACATATGCAGCTAATTTTTGTATTTTTAGTAAAGACAGGGTTTCACTATGTTGGCCAGGCTGGTCTCGAACTCCTGACCTCAAGTGATCCGCTTGCCTTGGCCTCCCCAAGTGTTGGGAGTACAGGAGTGAGCCACCACACCCAGCGCCAGCTAAAATTCTTGATAGACGTTAATTTAGGGGAAAAGAAAATGGTTTTGAAAAGTTAATAATAGAATCTAGGTAGAGTATATATGGGTGCTTACTATAAAACTCTTTTAATTTTGCCGTATGTTTGTAATTTTCATAATAAAATGTTAGAAAAAAATTTCAAAAAAAATTTCTTCATGGAAACGTGTCCCTTTGCATCCTGGCCATATAATTTTAATAAGAAAATCTAAAGACACGTTCAACCAGTTGTACAGCTTACACGTGGAGGGACATACGAAGCAGCTGTGGATTTTGTGTTTATTAAACCACAGATGCAGTCGTTTAAGCTGGGCCCGGGATCGGTATTTCTAACAAGCCCACGTGAGGCCTGTACTGCTCTTCCTTGGATCACACTTTTAAGTAGCAAGGTGCTGGAAAAGAAAAACATCACAAGCCTAACGCAAGAAGAAAAGGAAACTGCTTCATCTAAGTGATGATTCAACTTCAGCGGACAAGCAAAAGCAATAAGTCAGATGGAGTTTGAGAGGCGGGAACTGAAGGTTATACTTTAACTTGCAGGTTGCAAATAGAGCTAAGGATAAAATTAGATTAGCCCTAGTTCACTTAAAAGCCCTGAAAGGCCTACATTTATGAGTTAGTTTATGTGTTTATTTATGTATTTATTGTGGTTTTTTTTTTTTAAAGAGACAGATCCCAGCTCACTGCAGTCTGAAACTCCTGGGTTCAGGCAATCTTCCTGCCTCAGCCTCTCGGGCAGCTGGAACTGTAAGTGCATGCCATCACACCCCACTAATTTATTTTATTTTTTTAATACACATTGGGTCTCACTATGTTTCCCAGGCAGGTCTGGAACTCCTGGGCTCAAGTGATCCTCCCACCTCACCCTCTCAAAGTGCTGGGATTACATGCATGAGCCGCCACTTGTAGCCAATTTGCAAGTTTCATAAAGAGAAACAGAGTTGAAATTGTGGACCAAATAAAAATTTCAGTTGGCCAGGCATGGTGGCTCATTCCTGTAGTCCCAACACTTTGGGAGGTAGAGGGAGATGGATCACTTGAGGCCAGGGGTTCAAGAGCAGCATGGCCAACATAGTGAGGCCTTATCCCTATTATTTTTTTTAGTCTAAAATTAACAACAACAACAAAGCTTCAGCTGAACACCCAATGTATGGAGCAGATTAAAGGAGAACCGACGTGTAAAAAACACAGGGCTGGGGTTATGACAGACGCTTTTTCCAGTTGTACATCCTTGCCAGCCAACCCAACTGGTCAATCCACATGAATGGGGGTGGCTGGAGGTATGTAAATTCTGGAAGACCTAGATAAAAAACAAAAGAACGGGCAAATACGTCCTTAATCAAAATAAAAGGAAATCCAAGTAAACAGTCATGTCATCTGGAGGCCAATGAATCAATTGTTCAGAAATGCAAATTCTTCTGTTTCGCAAAAGGAGACGTATTATCTCAAACTCAATTAGATTCAACTGGTATTTGTTGATCTTGAGGCTCCAAAGGCATCTCCCTTTGTAGGAGAAAGAGCCTCAGCACAAGGAGGATGGTTAACAAACGCCTGTGGACCTGCTGCTTGATTCCGAGCTCATTCTACTGGCTTTTGACCATGTGAAACAGATACCAGAGACTTTTTCTCTTAAAGCTTCTTAGCTGGGAACACTAGAGCAGCCTCATGCCTGGTCGGTAATCCATTTCAAAATGAATCCAACGTACAAGACTTCAGGGAAAAAAATCACTTAAGAAAGAAGCTAAAATTAAGGCGAGAATATAAATAAACAGATTGTGTTTCTTCAGTGTTCCATGATGAAACATTCCACTGAGGATTTTCAAAGAGAATCATTACTTTAAATTTTCATAGAATGGAAATAAGTGAATCTAGCCAGCACACCATTGCATTATTCTTCACACCCACACCTCCAGGGAGACATTTAATCCTTTCCCCACTTTTTTTTAAACTAAATGGAAAAGGCAGACCAGACACTCAGATGACCAGGTACAGACATTGATTAAGATCTAAGGTCAAACTTTGAGCTCAAGTGCTATAAGGAAAATGGGGCCGGGTACGGTGGTTCATGCCTGTAATCCCAGCACTTTGGGAGGCCGAGGCAGGTGGATCACCTGAGGTCAGGAGTTCGAGACCAGCCTGGCCAACATGGTGAAGCCCCATCTCTACTAAAAATATAAAAAAATTAGCCGGGTATAGTGGCATGCACCGGTAGTCCCAGCTACAGCAGGCTGAGGCATGAGAATCGCTTGAACTTGTGAGGTGGAGGTTGTAGTGAGCCGAGATCACACCACTGCACTCCAGCCTGGGTGACAGAGTGAGACTATGTCTCGAAAAAACGAAACAATAATATAAGGAAAATGGTCCCATAGCTAGGCTCAGTGGCTCATGCCTGTAATCCCAGTACTTCAGGAATCTAAGGTAGGAGGACTGCTTGAGCCTGGGAGTTGGGAGATCAGCCAGGGCAAGATGGCGAGACCTCATCTATAAAAAAAATGTTTTAATTAGCCAGGCATGGTGGTGCACGTCAGATACTTGGGAAACTGAGGTGAAAGATCATCAGAGCCCAGGAGTTTAAGGCCGTATCGAGCTGTGATGATGCCATGGTACTCCAGTCTGGGCAACAGAGCAAGACCCTGTCTCTGAAAACGATACCTTCAAACAACGGCTATATAAGCCAAGCATTTGATTGCACCTAGCTCTTAGAACAAAAGAAAAAAAGAAAATGGCCTTGCTTCCTGCCCTCAGGTCTGATCTGATGCTATTTTGCCAGCTTTTTTTTCTCCATCACTCTCAGAAAGGAGTAGACACAGAGAAGGAGCACTCCTCCTGGCTACAAATAAAGGCAGCGTCTTTGGTAAATAAAGCGTTTACCCCTCCTCCCACTGGCGTGGAAGGTACTCGGCCACCTCACTCAACCTCACTCAACAAATCCCACGACAAAGGCCCGTCTGCTCCATCGAAGCACAACTGACTATGACAGATCCTTGCTGGGCAAAAGCATAAACGATTTCTCATGTCGCATGCTCCCAAGCAGGAGTAGAGTGAACTTTAATTGACAATCAGCTTTACCCATGATTCCGGTTCTCCACGACCCCCATTTTAAAGCAGGTCCACTTAGTGTGCTCAAGTTTGACCTCCCGTCAGTTTCCAGGCTTGCTTAGGGGTGAAGACACCAATGAACAGCCAAATGACCCACAGGCAGGCTGTGGGCCAGAAGCACTGAGAGGCAAATGGAATGCAGCAACCTGAAGATCTGCTGAGCAGCGTCTGAAAACGCACAGCTGAAGTCCTTGGGCTTCCTGAGCCACTCGCTCCATCACCTGACCCTGGTTCCCCAAGGGCCTCCCTGTGGCCAAGCATCCTCCTAGAGAACCTTGAAAACAGCTGAAATAACAAGGAGGTTGGGCAGACCTTTCTGGCAGAGGGTCCTGTTGGTTTTCCAGAGACAAAAGCATCTGATGAGCTGAGGCCAAAAAAGACAAAAGAGGAGCGGAGTAGGTCTCTGGGATGCAGAGTCCTGTTGTTTTACTCCCCAAATCAGAATGTGGTCTGTGTGCTGGATGGGTGCCAGGAGCCATCCAGGGCTGTCAGAAGGGGCCTTGGGCACCAACTGCCCACGTGTTATCTGAAGCAACTCCCCTATGCATTCTGTCATTTGTCCAGCAAATGTGTACTGACAGGTCTTAAACCAGGCATGGTGCATACAGCCATGAATGAAACAGATGAAAATCCCTGCCCTCACACCACTTAATTTTTGAGGGTGAGGGGAGAAATGAAATCAATAAAATTTAACTAGCATGGAGAACAACAAAGAAGCTCAGGCATGGGGTGGGGGCTGCAAAGTTAAAGGGGGCAGTCTGGGACGATCTCATTGAGTGCAATTTGGATAAGGATCTGTAGGAGGTCAGGGAGAAAGTTACGCTGCCATCAGGAAGCTATGCAGGAAAGATAGAAAAACTGGGAAGATAGAGGTCTGGCACAAGCAAGGAGCGGCAAAGAAGCCACCGCAGAAGCAATGGGAAGAGGAAGGGCAGGGACTGGAGTCAGAGAGGAAAGAAAGGCTTTTGCTGCGAGAGATAGGAAGCCAGAGGGATTGAGCAAGAGCAGCCGGCTCTGG